TTAAGAAATTATTACTATTTATACTATTATAACAAAGCACTCATTTTTATATATAAAAGCATTATCTAACAGTAACTTGTCTTATACTCTATAATTTACTGACTTCTATGACTAGCCTTTGAATTATTTCAGGCGAAGTTTGAGCCTAAGCACCACCACTCACATGAGGACAATTGAGGTGAATTGTAAGCATAGAGCTTCTGAAGAGGCAGCCTTGAACACCAACCTATAGAATATGCATTATCCCAGTGTATTAAAATCAGGATAATATGGTAATGATGAAAGACTGAAGCACAAGTTGGAGCAGGGACGGTTCCAATGGTTGACCAAAAGTAGACAGGGAAAAAAAATCACCAAGTTCTTTCATTGCTCCACTTCTCCAAAGATCATCAGCTTTTATCCATGCTTTCTTGCTTTGTGTGTATATGTGGTTAACAGTGTGGTCTAGAGCAAATAGCTATGAGACAAGATAGGAACTTACACTCTTCAGAATGGTGTGAATTAATGACAAAGTTTCACGAGTCCTATAAAGAGTACACCAAAATACAAATTCACAGCAGGATCCCAGGATATCTCTGAAGTGACAGACAACTTAATTTTCAGACGATATAAACCCTCGCATTCTATCTACTTTAGCCTGATGCTACTTAGCAGCATGTGCATCTGAAAGGAAGTGCCAGACAGGTGCATGCACACGCACATACACATTCAAGTTGTTTTCAAACCTCCTATTTGTCGACATAGAGACTCTGTCCCAAGCACCTCTGTCATTTTTCCTCTGATTAAAACCAGCACCTAAAAAGAATGGCTTTGAGTTCTTGGAAAAGCTAAACTGTAAGCTTAGCAGTCAATAAGGTCTTGAGAAGACATAACTTATTGGATGTCATCATGGGATGTGACCTTCAGTCCCACATAGAGCCCCCTTCTGGAAATAAATCTTAGTATATATTATACAGTACATGGAGTATACAACATAGTAAGTCAGGTAGGAGTACAGAAAGTTTTTGATTGTGAGTTCTAAGTAATGGCAAAGTGACTAAACCTTAGTGTCACACCTGTGAGAACACACTATGAAAGAGATCTATTGAAGAAACTGAACAGATCACGTGAAACACTTCAGACTTTGGAAATGAGGCAGAAAATTGGATTCTATGGCTATACTTTAGAAGATAATTGAGCACTGCAGAGAGAATAAATTCTCAACCCGTGAAACTGAAGTTAAAATGTCAATTCTGATTATAATTGCAGATAATACCTTCTATCTCAAGTAAATGGCCATACTTTGACTACGCAGTTTCAATCTTCTGATTAGGGTAAGGCTGAACTGCAGAAGTGGTTAAGATTTAGTTGGTATATACTTTTAGGTCTTCATTGTACGTCACTGTACGTCTTGGAAGTTAGATACCAGAATTACTTTCTGAGTTTATATATCCATGGGAGAAACTGCAAGACTATTCTTTACTCTCAAGTACGTGCCTCTGAGGGACCTGAAAAACTTGTATTAATCAGTTTCACAGCCATTATCAGAAGGTCAGAAATAGCCTTTCTTACTTTCCACATTCAAAAGCAATGGGTTAGGTACAACTACTTTGGGAAACTATTTGGCTGTATCGTGACATCTAACAATTCCATCTCTAAGTATATACCCAATAGAAATGGTAAAACATACGTACTAGAATGTTCATAGCAACATTAGTAATAACAATCAAAAAACCTGGAAACTACCCAAATGTCCATAAACAGCAGAATGGCTAAATGACTGTGGTCTGGTCACACGATGGAATAATATATAACGATGAGAACAGACAATCTGCAGCCACAAACAACAATACGGATAAGTTTCACAAACATAATACTGAGTGAAAGAAGACAGACACACGAGTATATATACTACATGATTCCACTTACAGAAACCACAAAAACAAGCCTAACTAATCTACGCTTTTCAAAGTGCAAACAGTGGTCACCCTTTCGGAGGGAGTGTGGTTTAAGCGACTGGAAGGGAGCAGGAGGGTGGCTTCTGGGCTGTTGGCAACGTTCTGCCTCATGATCTGGGTACTGGTTACACGAGTGCTCATGCTGTGAAAATTTGAGCTAGATACTTATGGTGTGTGTACTTTTCCATATGTGTATTACACTGTAATCAAAAATTTAAAACAAATAACATCATCGTCAACCACAACAATTATAAGTAAAACCTCTAAGTCCCAAATTATTCAACAACAGTAAAAATAAAAAGAATGACTTGCAAGTTCATTCTGCATCTATTAGGTCAGACTGACTAGTGTGACAACAACTTCAGATCACAAAGATCTATGGGGACAAAACTGATAATACCAGTATGTCTTTCTTCTTGCTGATAGATTATTTTTTCCTTTCCTTTTTTTTTAAACTGCAATGAATTTCTACACCTGTTTTTATCTGCCACAGGACATGGACTGTTTCAGACATTATCATCATTACCCTGCACAATGAAACGTGGGAACCGAACGTCTAGCAATTCTGTTTGTTAGAGGAAGAAAACAACAGCTGAAAATGCTTTGGGATCCTTGACGAAGCGAAACCAAGTATTACCTCTATATCCTGAAGAGTGTTGTCTGAGTTCGTAGAATAAACTTCTTGACCTGAACGGACGTTTAAATACAACAAATGGGAGGATCACAGCTCAATATACTTTTGTGAATTACAATGGACACTTTGGAAACAAACTTAATGTTCTGCAGCTGGCCGTCCCGATTTAAAACATGGAACTTTGGTGACACTGTGGGAGAGGGAGTGCTGGTAGGATCAGATGTCTGGAAGTAAATCCGAACTTAGTGACTTTTGGAAACACTGTTTTTGAGGTTGTTTCCCACCTACATATAACCATTTTTATCAACTGGTTAACCAGGAGTCCAGCTGCAGGAATGTCTGGATGTTTCCTTGTGGCTGGAATTCGTCACAAACTTTCTTTGCTACTCCCCATAGATTCTTTTATAGATGGACTAGTCAGTGATGACAACTTAACAATGGTTAAAAATTCCTGATGGAATGAAAACATAAAGCTACAGTGGAAAAGAAAAATATGTTTGTCAATCTCTCCTGACACCATATCAGATGCGACTGAGGCTACAGAAGTGCATGGGATGAGGAATTAGAAAGTCGGATGCAGGTGTCACAGGATGGCGCCAGGATTCTCTTAATCAAAACGACGTGTCTGGTGAAAATACAAATGGGTTGTAAGGGGGAAATAACTGAAAAGCGTCTCGTCTTACATGGACTTGGTTTTTTGGCCTGATTATATAGGGTATTGCATTTAAACTCAGGCCTCTTAGAACGAGTGTGAAGCGGGGATTCAGTCAGTCTAAAAAGTAAAGCACTCAATCTTTCACACTGAACCTGACAACACAGCATCTACACACACATTTTACTTGGGTAAACAACTTCTAACAATCAATTCTCAAACCTCCTTCCTGACATTCACACTCTCTACTTGCCAGTTAGCCATTTCGATTTTTAAAAAATGCCACCTCAAAACAAGCAGCACCATGTTGCTGACGTGTCCTTCAGCACCAGGCTGACCACCGGGCCTCCTAGAAGGACTCGCCTGATCCATGTGCTTGAGGACCCTTTGTTCCTCTGGACTATCTGAAGACGAACTTTTAGTCTCATATTATTTCTACAGCTTATCCTCTCTAACCGGTTTTTATGTGGGTGAGGGAAGAAAGCAGGAAAGAAAGTAAATAGTCAGGGCCGGCTCCGTGGCTGGGTGGTTAAGTTTGCACGCTCCGCTGCGGTGGCCCAGGGTTCGGATCCTGAGCGTGGACATGGCACCGCTCGTCAGGCCACGTTGAGGTGGCATCCCACATTCCACAACTAGAAGGACCTGCAACTAAGATATACAGCTGTGTACAGGGGGGTTTGGGGAGATAAAGCAGGGGGAAAAAAAAAGATTGGCAATGGTTGTAGGCTCAGGTGCCGATCTTTAAAAAAAAAAAAGAAAAGTAAATAGTCATGAAAAGAATTTTTCTTTATTAAAAATGTCAAATAAAGAACAGCACATAATAAAATGGATGAGTGATTATGCCACATTTTAACTGGAGAAGCCAATACTTGCATTATCCAAAGAGCAACCTGGAGAAAACATTAAACTGACACTGGCTTCTTCCTGTCCTCCAGCACCTCCTTCTACTACCTATTAGCGCGTACTCAGAGAAGGTAAATGAACTCTAATGTTAGCCTAAGCCAAATACAAATGTGGATGCAAATCTAATGCTACTTAAGACAAAAATGGAAGAGGAGGAGGAGGGAGAGACGGGGAGGAGTTAGGGGCACATGTCTTATCTAAAGCTAATTTTGATTTTCTAGTTTACCTATTATAGAATAATGCTGTAATTCTCTGAACATAAATGGTTAAGGATTATTTACTGTTTTGTATTATATGTCACTCAATTCTATTAACCAGACAGGAGATGAAAAGATGCACTAGTTAAAAAAAAAAAAAATAGGGCTGGCCCTGTGGCATAGTGGTTAAGATTGGTGTGTTCCACTTCAGCACCCTGGGTTTGTGAGTTCAGATCCTGAGCACAGACTTGCACCACTCATCAGCCATGCTGTGGGCAGCAACCAACAAATAAAGTGCAGGAAGATTGGCACAGATGTTAGCTCAGGGCTAATCTTCCTCAAGCAAAAGAAAGAGGAAGACTGGCAATAGATGTTAGCTCAGAGTTAATCTTCCTCTTCTTGCTTGCGGAAGATTGTCCCTAAGCTAACAGTTGTGCCAATCTTCCTCTAATTTCTATGCGGGATGCTGCCACAGCATGGCTTGACGAGTGGTGCACAGGTCCACCCTCAGGATTCGAACCTGTGAACCCTGGGCCACTGAAGTGGAGTACACAAACTTAATCACTACGCCACCAGGCCAGCCTTGACAAAAGTGCTTTTAAAAAGTAAAGTGGATTATTACACAATATTAGGGGTTAACATATTCATAAAATTATGGTACTTTTCTATCTGCTTACCTCTGACATATCATGCACCAGCAAGAGAGGAATGCTTATTGTGGTGATGTCATGGGTACAGCAAACCTTGAGTATATTTCGGAGTCCCATAATGGCAGGATCACGAGCAGTGATGTTTCCTGATTTCACATTGTCATCCACACAAAGATGGAAAGCAACATGGATTTCTGAGAGATTAGAATGCCGTGTAATGTAAAATTCTCCTGTGAACAACAATACAATCATGATTTTCAAGAGCATAAATCAAATTCATCAATGGCTTTTATAAATAACTATAATGGGCAGTCAGTGTGTTGAACTCGTAGAGGTGTGTCAGGAACCTATGGGCTCAGAAAGTAAATATGATTACTACTCTTTAATTCTTGGAAAGGTGATGAAAAACAGAGACAATAGCCAATTTCCCATGAGGTTCACAAATTGGTATGAAGTGACCACCAAGTAGTAAGTAAATCAAATGAGCGCTCATCATCTCTATTTTGATATACGTGCTCAAAATGTCTTGCTTAACTCAAACTTAACATATACAAACAGGTTACTTGATGACCTGCCTTCTCCACACCCTCAATCTGCTCTTCACCATCTCAATTCACGGGTCACTCTCCATCCAGCTAGTTGTTTGGGAGAGAAACATGGAAGTTGCCCTTAATTACTTTCCTTCTCTCAGTGTCTCCTCCCCAATCCACAATCCAGTTCACCACCAACTATTTTCAGTAATATCTCCAAAAAATATCTCAAATCTGAGCACTCCATTTATAGTGCTATCACCCTAGTTCATTTCATCATCTCACTGAACTCTTTATCACAGCCTCTCAATTAATCGCTCTGCCCCCGTTCTTGCCCCCCTACAAACCTATTCCACATTGTAGGCAAAATGATTCAAATATAAATCAGATTACATTACTCCTCTACTTAAAATCTTCCAGCAGGCTCATACTACTTTCAAATAAATTCCAAACACTTGACTGAGGTCTGCAAGGCCCATGTGGCCTGGACACTACCTGTCTGTCTGACGTCCTCGTCTCACCCTCTGTGCCTATCTCACCCACAGGCTTTCGTTCAGTTCTTCAACATGCAGAGCTTAGTCCAAATTCAGGGATGCTGGGTGAAAGGCTGTCCCCCAAGGTCCTTGTGTCGCTGACTTTTCACCTATCACATCTCAGCTCAAAGGCCACCTCCTCAGAGAGGCCTGCCTGGACTGCCCCATCTGATACAGGGCTCCATCACCTCTCGCTCATTCTCTTCCACATTGCTCTGTTTTGTTTCCTTCTCAGCACTGAAATTCTTTTGTTTATTTGCTTATGATATTATCTTAAAGAGACCATTGTTTACATTCCACGACTACAGGGATTTTGTCTATCTTGTTTAATGTCCAATCTCCAGCACACAGAACGGTACCCGGTACAGAGAAGGTACTCAATAAGCATTTGTTGAACGAATGTATGCACAAATGATTTAGCCTGAATACAGGAGCACTGTCTATCAAATCCTAAAATCGCACTTCCTACAGTCACTTCATTTTCCATGTAGCCACACTAGCCAAGAAAAATCTCATCAGCTTTTATATTCTACAGTTTCTGTCAATATAAATAAATAACACATAAAACACACGAAGAATCTGTTTTCACAAACACATGCGCCTTTCTGGGGATTCGGCTGTCCTTCGAGGAAAGCTCTGTGCTTACAAAGACCGCTCTTCTGTCACTCGTCCCTGCTGCACGGCTCCTGCTCACCCTCGCTGCCGAGGCATCAGCTTTGGGTTTTGCTCACATTTACTCATAAGCATAGAGAATATTTAAAAGTACTTACTATACTTTAGCACAATGTTTAACCATCTCTAGTTACCAGGTACATATGTTGAAACCATGGATGCCACTGACAGGCCCCAGGCAAACAAAGGTCTTTTTTTTTTTTTTAACTTAGACAAGATAAAAGAATTAGATAAGCAGAAAGAGAACCTAAAGAAAGGACAGTGACAGAGATACCAAAATAAACTAGACAAGAAAAAAGTACAGAGAAAATTGTCTCTGGTAAAGAATAGTGGCAGGCAACAAAAGACATCCATTGCTTATCAGAACCCTGGCAGACTATATGAGACAGTACCCTTCTGGGCCCGAGGAAGTGGATTACCTCCTACACTCCCACTGATACTTCAGATGATGGAAGCCGTCGCATTAAACGTGGGCTGTGGTCCAGCAGAGAGACAGGATGACTTAGTGGACAAGTCAGGTGCTCCTAATCCCCAAACTGGCACTGTTTTGTTTGACCTTAGATGACTCAGCTTTTGGCCTCACTTTACCCATTAGTAAAATGGGGATCATGGAGGTGGCAGGAGTAATCAAAATAATATGATATAGTAGGAAAAGGGCTAAATTGGGTATTAAGAAGATGTAGTCTTTAGCACTTATTGGCTCAGAGATCTTGGGCAAATCAATTCAACTTACAGATCTTCTGTTACTTTGCATATGAAATGGGAAAAATAATGCCTGACGGCTTTCCTTAAAAAGTTGTTGTGAGAATTAGATGACATAAACTGTAAATACTTAATGATAAAGCAAACATACTGGTTAAAAAAACAGATAAACAAAACTGTTTTTCCTTACAACTTAAAAATTTAAAAGTATTTGTGATTTTGGATCTTTTTTATCTTCTGTAAACTTCCTGGCTGTAAATTCAGATGCTACCAGCACATCTAACTGAACAGTTTAATGTTCCTTTTCTAATGCAGACTTATGACACATCCTCCTGATTTGGTATAATAACGAGATACCACCATATAGGCTTTTTCCAAAAACGAGCAAGGAAGGAAATAAATATAGCAATAAAAAGTTAAGTTTAAAAAAATCAGACATCACCTCCAGAATAGATAATAAGATTGGCATATTTTAAGAAAGCCACAAAATATGGATGATTTAAATTATGGATCTATGAAGAGAAATACAATCAATCCTGTCTCAATGAAAGTATTTTTAGATGGAGAGGAGGACAGTTTCCTGTTCCACAAAGTGAGGAAACAGCATGTGGTGATGCCATCCTGCCTCTAACATTATCCACGAAGGTAGGCTATCTGAAGGTGGGAGGACATTCGGAAGCTCGTGACCACAAGCTGACTGACTGGCACTGACAAAAGGAATACCAGAAATGGGAATGCTATTTGCTTACGTGGAATGTGATCTGTGTGTAGAAAATTTGGGGAAGGAAATGTGAGGAAACAATCTCAAAGGACAGCAGAAAACTATCAAGAGTATGGCTATTTATGAAACTGTAAAATTTACCATTTAGTTTCAAAGACTTCACATTTATAATGTAAACAAATAGGCCTTCTTTGCTATGCTCTGTCATTCAAACACTACTAAGGATCATTAGAACGAGTTCAATATGGAAGAGGATCAAGAGATTGGATTTCCAGTTGATAAACAACATATACAAGAATAATAAAGGAAATCAAAGAATTGGAAAGCAGGAAAATTTATGGGGAAATAGAAATAAGAAAGATTCCACGTCAGATGATCCATGTTCTTTCTACAAGTTCATCTGTTTACATCTTTACGTACTATTGTTCATATTTCAGAGTAAAAATTATTTCTTGGTTCATATCTTAAGAAACTAAGGAACAATGTATAAAAGAGGAGATTTTAAATAGCAAATAATGATAAAACTTATGCAACTATTTGAGCAATTTTTCTTGTCTGGATCTAGGAAAAAGTCAGTACTAGTGTAAGAAGAAAGATTTAAATTGTAGAACATCTGTGAAAGTGTATTATATAGATACAATGCTGTTTCAGATGATATACTGACAAATGTTTCCTAATGTAGACCATAAGAACTTAGGTTTCAAATGTATGATTTCAGTGTATGTGATCATAAGGAAATAGTGATTTAGAATAAAATAGTACTTACCAGGTAAAATATTTAAATAGTTTCTATCAGAATTTTTAGTCTTATCATCACTTCCTCCATTTCGGTTTCCAGAATCTATGCATAAGATAACAGAACATGAGAGAACATAACAACATATGAGAACACCTTACTACTACTACTCCCCAAACAATCACAACAGCAGCAAAAATTCACTACGGATCTCTAGGTGCCAGACGTTCTGATACATGCTTCACACGGATGGTCTTATTTAATTCTTACAAAACCCCTATAACCAAAACCTTATGACTAAGTCCTCTCACTATCTTCATTTTACATATGAAGAAACAGAGGCTTACAGAGGTTAATTAACTTAATCAAGGAGGCACAGGTAAGTGGTGGAACCAGGTCTTGAACCCACATACTCCGATTCCAAATCCAACAGCCTTAGGCACATTAGACTTGCCAATACCCTATTTTCCATGTGGGAGGTGCAGGGCACTAAGCTAACCGCACATAAAATAACTTCATTAGATAGCTGTAGTGTGGTCATCTTTATTTTTAGAATGTGAGTCACTGTTGTTGATACAACTTGTTCAGGACTACAAACAAATGGTTAGTAGCACCAGGAATCACTTGATATTCAGCCCATTCCTGAAATTCGTTACTTCTTATCTGACACTATATACAATTTATTTCAAACAGGTATGTGAGACAGTTTCAGATGGAATTTTTTTTCACATATTCAATAATTTTTCTTTCTCTTTTCAGAAGGCATGATACTACTTAAAGGAAAAATGTTCATAAAATAAGATACAGCACAATTGACCATACATTATTATGGCTGAACACAAATTATTTTACATACATATACGTATTTTTTTTTTTTGAGGAAGATTAGCCCTGAGCTAACTGCTGCCAACAATCCTCCTCTTTTTGCTGAGGAAGACTGGCCCTGAGCTAACATCTGTGCACATCTTCCTCTACTTTATACGTGGGACGCCTACCACAGCATGGCTTGCCAAGGGGTGCCATGTCCGCACCTGGGATCCGAACCGGCAAATCCCGGGCCGCCAAAGCGGAACATGCGCACTTAACCGCTGCACCACTGGGCCAGCCCTACACACATATATTTTTAATAGAAGATGCATCTGAATTTTATAAGAATTCTATCAGAACGCAGAATGAATATTAGCATCCAAAGTTGCTATATTTAAGAGGCTGTATATTTATTCCAATTAAATACAAAACTACTTTGGAATGGCCTTCAGCATCAGAAAATCACCTGAAAATAGTAAGAAGATCAAATGAGCAGAGTGCAAATACCAAGGGAATATTATGGTTTCAAAAATGTTCTGAATAAAAGTAGCTTAATATTTTTACCTAGTCACTACTTTGATGAATTGATTTATTACTGTACCTTGTAAATACATATATTTTATAAATAAAGAGACAGAATGAGAGAAAGGCATGGAGAGAAGGCTGTGTGTTGCCAGAATCCATATTTAAAGTAATGGTCTGCTTCTCATAGAGTCATGTAATTGACAGGCTTGAATAAATGTCTGATCACAGCACAAAAAACAAAAAACAATAAATAAGGACTCTAATTCTGTTCACAGAGGGTATGAACAAACAGAATCTCTATTAATTAAACAAGAGAGGACAGGTCATAGTCTTTCCCCTTTTCGTGTTTCAATGGTAACATCTTGTAATACTAAGAAGAGTGCTATTTTTCATTTTCAAAAAATGTATATAAAATGTGTACAAAAAACAAACTGTTTTTGCAGATAACAAATAGTCTTTATATCTAAAGATGCTGACATAATAAACACAGTTAGGAAAACAATGGAATGTCTTAGAATAAACAGGCTCTTGCGTATTCGGATGCAAATGTGTAGAACAAACGTGGGTATGCAGAGAAAAGGAAAAGGGGGAGAAAGCATTTTCACAAACTCTTCTCTAACGACATGGGGGTTCCTCTAAGAAAGTTGTATTTTATAAAACTACTTGTTTCACTGACTCACTTAAACCACAAAATAGTTGCTTGAACAAGAACAAAATAATACGATGATGTACAGACACTGCCTTAACCGTATGTGGTTTAGAAACTTCCTGTCATTTCCTGCACGCTTTCCACCTCTATGCACACTTAGACTGCCCCACCTTCTCCCATACTGTCATGAGCTCAATCTTCATGCTTTTAGTCACTACTCAGAATAATACTAAAGTGTTTGTCATCACATCATTGCTAGTTTGAATGAGGTGGAGGAAGAAGGTGGCAGAAGAATAAGAGGACACACGGGAACTTTCCAAAGGCTCCTTTGTTAGGATACACTTCCATGCCGATTTCCTAATACTCAGCCTGGCTCTGAGTCACATGTAACACACACGGCCACAGCAAAGCCACAGGTACCTGCAGGAGGAATCCAAACCGGTAGAGCCGCTGTGGAGAGCCATTGCTAACACCACCAAAACTGTCCATCTATGTGCCCCTTAACTCAGGAATTTCTCGTGAGAAATCTACTCTATAGATATGCTCACACACAATGATCTATGTGCAAGGTTACTCATGCATAATTACTTATAATAGGAAAACCCGTGGAACAGATTAAATGCCTATCAATAGAAAGCTGACTAATAATGGGATATCCTGCAATGGACTACTATGCAGAAGTAAAAAGGTACGAGGATACTCTTTAAATACTGATATGAACTGATCTCTAAGATAAATTATTCAGACAGCATTGGCTGCCTCTGGAGTGGGAAATCAGACGGCCCAGGGACAGAGTTATGAAGACTTTCACTGTATGCTCTTCTGTACAGTTTGAATTGTGAATTTTGTGAATGTTTATCTATTTAAGAAATGATTAAAAATAAATAAAACATTTTTTAAAAGCCTACTGAATAAATAAGGAAACTATAGTGAATGCTAATCAAGTTAAGTCTAGATAGCAAATTCTAGCACCAGGAGAAAGGGAAGAATTCTACAATTTACATGGGAGAGAGGGACAGACACCAAGCAAACACATAACAACATCTCTTTGCTTACTACAAAACACAAGAACCAAAAGTACCGTAATGGTTTCTTTTAAACACTGCAGTTGCAAAACATACAAAAAAGACAGTCACAGCACCAGAAGCGGACTTAACGGTTTGACCAGCCACAATTTTAAAACCTGCCACATTTTATTTCCTGGGTGAGCCATCAAGTTTTTATAAGAAATAATAAAATACTGAGTATGTATTCAAACCAGATAAGAGCACATATTGTGATTTCATGCCTGTGATATAATACAAAACATTGGAAAAATAAGAAAAACACAGCTTATATATATATTTTTGAATGAAATTATCCTCATATTTAACTCCTAACAACTGATGATACCAATTTAATTTATTAAAAAACTACTTTTTAAACTTTCATTTTTTAATTAAAAAATAGCTGAATTACTCTGTGATTTGAATTTTTTTTTAACCTATGTAAAGTCTCTCTATGAATAGACAGAAATCTTCTGAAGAAAGACGCCATGAACTTTTTCCATAGCTTTAAAAACATTTTCCACTAAATTTCTTAAACAGAAAGAATGCTTATATTGTGGATAAATATAGAAAAAGCAGTTACTCGAGGACATACTAATTTTTAAAAAGAACAACCAAAAGCAATTCTTGTAACTGACTTTACGCTACTTAAATGGATCAAAGACGGAACATATAAAAAGTGCATATTTTGCACTATATTGACTATGATTTCAGTGCCCTCTGTAGTAATAATTATGGCCATTTTAGAGATATAGAACTTGGATCAAAAGATCACCAACTTTCCACTGAGTGCCTATTTCAAGTATAACTACAGAATTAAAATTTAAAAACAGTTTTGTTCATGATCTTGAGCAAAATCATGCAAAAAAGGAAATTAAGAACAGAATCGATGCTTCTAAAGATCTTGAACTTTGTTGCTAATTTCTTTCTTCCACCATTCCATCAATATAACTTTCTATATTTTCATGATGACCCATATGCTATTAGAGTGCTTAAGGACAGAACATACTGAAAGTGAAATGTAAAAAAAGTTGAGTTTTACTGACCATGTGATTCTTTCAACTTACTCCTGCGCTGGGTTCTAGCATAAAGTACCACCTGCTGGACAACTTCCAGTTGCTCTTCAATCCGGGGAAAATGGAAGTCAGTGCATTCCTGGCAAACTGTGGCAAAATCTAAGGGACCCAAAACATTTACAAACTTCTAAAGGTTAACTTCCAAATATTTAGTATTCACTTATAGACAATGAGATCTAATAGATATAGAATATAAAATTCACAAGTAAGATTTCTTATACTTGTCCTTTCTATAATTATGCCTTACTAAGCTAGGGTATAGCAATTTTGTTTTGATCAGAAACTTAACCTCTCAATCATTCAAGAGAGTGAACAATTAATAGACAAAGAAATTTTAATATAATTCCAAGTCTTCTTTAAATAATATATACTTTGATCATAAGCCAATCCCAAAAAGTGCTACAGAATACAAGAAGGTTCTTATACTTATGAAAGGAAATAAAACACTATTCAAACTTTTGTGGCACTTTTTTAAAATTGACGTATAATTGACATACACAACACACTAGTTTCAGGTATATAACATGACTCAGTATTTGTATATATTGCAACAGGAACACCACAATAAGTTTAGTTAACATTAGTCACCATACCTAGTTACCAAAAAATTCTTTTCTTGATGAGAACTTTTCAGATTTACACTCTTAGCAACTTTCAAATATGCAATACAGTTATTAAACTATAGACACCATGCTGTACATCACATCCCCAGGACTTATTTATTTTATAACTGGAAGTTTGTACCTTTTGACCACTCTCACCCATTCTGCCCACCCCGACTCCCTGCCTCTGGCAACCAGCAATTTCCTTTCTCTATCTATGTATCTACGAGCTTGCTTTGTTTTGTCTTTTTTAGATTTCACATATAAGTGAGATCATACGGTATTTATCTTTCTGTCTGACATAGCTCACTTAGCATAATCCCTTCAAGGTCCATCCATATTTACTCCAACTTTTTAAAAATGTTATATATTTCAATACACTTTATATATTCAAAAATTTAAAAATAATCATAAAAACTGAGTTGTACTAAGAGGGCAGATAGAATTTTATCCAGCACATTTAAGAAATAGATTATTTTAAAAAAAAACAGATAAAAGGACAGATGGATGAACAAAAATTCACTGAGCCAGGATCTGCTTCTAAATTGAAAAATACACTTATCTTTTGATTATTGTTTTTGTTTCACCTTGAAGTAGGGACCCTGTAAGAGTATTATTTACAATATAATAGAATTGTAAGAAAAATGAACTCTCCTGCAGCACTCCACCCACCTAAAGCATACAATGAACCTGTAACTGCTGTGGCTGGGTGAGTGTTTGTTTGGTCTACTTGAATACTGGGGTGCCTAAAGTTTTTTCAGTTTTTCCATAATTCCTTTCTTTGTAAGAATGGTATTAAAAGGAGAAACTTAATGAAATAAGTACATATGGTGTTAACTTACCTCTTTTAATTCCACTATATGAATTAATTCGATTATCTACTAGTAAAACCAGGCCACAGAGAGATGTGGAATAAAGTGACAGTGCTGTCTGGAGTCGATGGAGTTTCACACCACTCCGATGATTTCTTTTGTGCTTACAGAAGTCCAGCATATCTGCCCTCAGCAATCTCAAATTATGCATGGTCTTTAACTGGGCTCCTAAGGGGGCAGGAAACAGTCCCAGAAAGATACTTAGACAGCTGCAAAAACATCAAGTGTAATAGGCAAGGATCCAGATAAATCTGTGCTTCAATTAATTAAAGATGGGCCTGGGAATTTCCCATTTTAATAACTATTAATACTTAATCTTTCTATTAACAACAAATAATATATAAGCTAAAACAGAAAATTTATAGCCAACAAACTACAGGCTTTCTTGGAGCAGGACATAATTTGGAATTAAAAATAACATGTATATTCTCCCCATATGCTAGGAATTTCTCTCTTATGGCGTAAAAAGTTTCACAAGTTACAATAAATTATGACTGCAAAAAATCAAAACACTTACCTAAGTGAATGGTAAAACTTTCTTCTAACTTTCTCTGTTCCTCATAAATCCTTCCATTTGCTTCTACGGATTCTCTGAACTGGCTTGGCTGAACTTTAATTTCCTCACTGAAATTGATAAATCATCGATATGCTTTTTTGCACGCTTGTCAAGAACTTTTCTTAAAGGAAGGAAAGCTTTATCATGAAAAGAGACAAAACTAAAGAGCTGAAAGTAGCACTTAATTTCCTCCTGAACTCACACTTTGTTTTTCCTCCTGAACTCACACTTTGCCCACGGCAACAGGCAAGATCAGCAGCACCAGCAGGTTCTAACGTTTCCACTAGCTGTTTCACTTCCGTGTTTCACTGTTATTGTTTTCAGTCATTACAACATCAATTCATATATTATCATTTAATATTTCTTAGTGGCCTAAGAGTGATTAAGTGATTAACTTATTACTTTAAAACAACATATTTTTAAAAATGTAATATGTCCCATATCAGGGCTGGCTCCGGGCAAAACTTGAATATAGAGGTAAAGTAACAGAAATGAGAATTCAAAATTTAAAAGTAAAATAAAAGGAATAATAAAAAAAGAAGTTCACTTTGATGTAGTATTCACATCCTCTATTTTTTTTTTTTTTTACCATTTCCTGTTTTTTTCCCACCAACATTCTCCTCCCATTGAAGGACTTCTCTGCGCCTGCTACACTGCTCTGATGTTTCCTGAAAAGGCTACCATGGAGGGACTATAACCGCATAACTGCTCAGTTCCAGTTTCGTGGATGCTGAAGATGATATTAGTCTGTAACAGTCATCCATTCCCCAGACTAAAGTTTGGGGATTAATCTAAATAGCCTCATTAGACTCACTGACTAATTTCATCAGTAAAGATGGCAAATTTAAACCTAAAAATAAGTTTATATTAATAAAATATCCTCATCTTACAATGCAGAAAGCCGCAAGAGAATGTTATTCTCACTCTGATAACAGAAAAAGTCAGGTAATCTACAAAAGCATCATTATTACATCAGAGATTTGATGTAACAAGGCAACCAAGTAAACTAGCTTCTAAAGTGTGACACAACTCTCCAAGGGGAGCCGGGACACACAACTTTCCTTTTTGGCAGAGCATGGTAGAGACAGGTTGCTGTAACGTGAAGGAGCAAGAAGAAGTCAGCTAAAATTTTAATGAGTTCTTAAAGGTCAAGAACGGGTTACATTTAGAAGAGCTAGAAGCCCCAGACACAAGAGAAATCTGCATGCACTTGCAAACTCTTGTCCTTTGGTCTCCACCAGTGCTTCCAAGAAAAGACTGGGGCAGGGCAGGAGACAAGAGAGACCCCTTGGTGGCACAGGCAGAAACGCTGTTTTAAGAGAATGTTCCAAGCTCAAGGCCCAGATCCACAGGGCTTGCTCATGACTAAAGATGGACAAAGACGACAGAGACCAGTCTCCCACTCCCAACTATGAGCCAGGCATCAAGTAATAAACAAGAGTCTATTGCTGCGGGTGTAGAGCAAGAGGACAGAAAGAGAACTCATACTGTGGCAAAGACTCGCAAAGACTAGAGAGCTGAGGACGGAGCAGAAAGACCGGGAAAACCCTCTAGAACCCAAAGCCCCGCTCTAAATACAAAGTGGCAGCAGCTTGTTCCCGGAGAAAACCAAGCCTGTGGTGTACTGAAAGAACAAAACCCAGACTCAGCTCAACTGTTAGTGACTACATTTGCATGACCTTCACCTTAATGGCCTGTTCATTTCCGGACATAAGCATTGTTTACCTCAGTCTCTTCTCTTCTAGTGCACACAATATCCATCATTCAGTTAAAAAAAAAAAAGGAGAGAGGAAGACACCCAAAAAGGAAAGGAAAAAAAATTTAATTAAAATGAAACACTTTCCTCTTTGAAAGACATTATTAAGAAAATGAAAAGACAAGCTACAGGTAAGAGAAAATATTTGTAAAACACATATCTGATGAAGGATTTGTATCCAGAATATATAAAGAATTCTCACAACTCAATAATAAGAAAAAAACAAAGGGGAGATATGGATGGAAGATCAGCTCATGAAAAAATGTTCAACATTATTAGTCATCAGGGAAATGCAAAGTAAAATCACAATGAAACCCCACTACAAAGCCTACTAGAATGGCTAAATACCCATACCAAGCATCAACGAGATGTGGAGCATCTGAAACCCTCATACATCCTCATACACCACCATTGGTGGTGGGAATGCAAAATGGTACAGCCACTTTGGAAAACAGTCTGGCAATTTCTTATAAAGTTAGATATACACTTAACAAGTGATCCAGCAATCCCACTTGTAGGTATTTACGTCTAGAAATAAAAATATATGTCTCTACAAAGATCTGTATGTGAATGTTTACATCAGCTTTATTTATAACTGCCAAAATCTAGAAATACCTCAAATGTCCATCATGGAATGAACAGATAAACAAAGAATGACAAAATACTACTGAGCAATCAAAAGGAAAGAACCACTCAAAAACGAAATGACATGAGTGAGTCTCAAAGGCATTATGCTAAGTGAAAGAAGTAAGAACAAACTGCTATATACATAGTTTGATTCCATTTATATGACATTCTGGAAAAATCAAAACTATAGGGACAGAAACGGACCAGGTTGCCAGGAGCTGGGCAAGGGGAAAGTAGATTAACTATAAAGGTGTAAAGCGAAATGCTATATATTGATTGCAGTGATGGTTTCATGACTAATTCAGTTTGTCAAAACTCATGAAAATGTAAACCTAAAACAGGTGAATTTCACTTCAGGTAATTTATCCTTCAATAGACTTGACTTTTAAAAACAAAAGCAAAAATAAATGAATAAAAACAGAACACCACTTTTTACCAAGATCATATAGGAGTTCTGCATGTAGTTGTGCTGAAAACTGGCTTCTGCTCCCCAAGGAAACCCATATCAAAAAGGAAAGCAAACTAACAAGTCACAGCAAAAACACTCTCTCCTAAGAATATCTGGTTTTTAAAAGAAGCAGCAGCTGGAGGCCAATATTTACACAATGGAATTGATCTTATAGTCTAGATTTCTGAAACTAGAGCAGCAAAGCGAGAGAGAATTTTTGTAGCAAAGGGCTTTCTCGGCTTCCTTAAATCAGTGACTTTCCCCCTTTTTAACCTCAATATGCAGTGTATATTTTACATTCTGGCTCAATACACATTCACCTATAGAAAACTTCATGCATGATGCCCTCTGATCTTTTTTCCCTACTCTACTCTACTCTGTTCTGTTCCCTTCATTTTATTGTTAATTTAAAAAGTCTGATTGGAAAGTAAGGGATCTAGAATGGTCCCTAGCAGACCGCAACCAGCAGTTTAAGAAACACCATTGTACATTTTGGCATACAGATGTTCCCAACCCAATTTTCCCCCACCACTCCCTTTTTATTGTGTTCACTATTTTCATCTGAAATGAGGAGCACGGTCAAATATGATAGCATCAAGGATGTTATCCCACTTCTAATCATAAAAAATTGTTTCAGTATTTCCAAGGTGTTGTCTTGGGGAAAACACTAAGACAAATGAAAGATGATAATATTTAGATAAGAGGTGATATAGATATTAGGTAAACAGTTTAATCATAATCCATCCATCTGCCTGTTTGTCCACCCATCCTATAAATATTTACTGAGTAGGTCTTATGTGTCAGTGTCAAGAGGCAGACACTTGGCAAGCATCTGGGTATACAACAGTAGAAAAAACAGATGTTTTTTGTCTTCAAGGCAAGACTAGTGAGGGAGACTGACATTATACCAATAAAATGCTGCTTCTAAAAGTTTATAGCATCTACTAACAAATGCTGGAAACAGGATTATTATTCTGTACTAAGTATGTTTCCAATTGAATATACTTTTGGATTTGAAAGAAAAAAGAAATTCTCAAATATCTGAGTATACAGCCAGGAAATGACAAGCTCTAGGGCAGGAGGTGAAGCACAATGTATTTAGGCCATGAGGTACCATACAGGTTATGCATTATGGGAAGTCCTCTAGACTATTTTTGTACCTTGTACATACATCTCTTACTGCACATATCACTCTATACAGTATTGTTTTATTTACAGGTCAGTCCCTCTTGCTGGAATACAAGCTCTGCATGGGCAGATATATTTTTTGTTTTTCTACTTAGAGTACTTGGCTTTTAAGATGCATTCAACCAATGTTTATTTCACTGAATGGAAACCAATTTAAAGAAATCAGAGACGGTACTCAGGGTATTTAGATATACACCTAAGAGATTTATGAGGCTAAGTTCTGGGGGGAAATTACTATTTTAAACCAAGCAATTAACCCCCTTCTCAAAAAATCCACACAATGTCTATAACACAAAAGGTGTTAAAAGAAGGATAAACTTATCTTGAATTTTCATTGATAACTTAAAAATATCTACAACTAAAAAGGTTCAATTTTATAATAAACACCAACTATTACTAACAGTGAGCTTTCATTTAATAAGAACAACAGAAGATTCGTACCTGAGGGAGCTGTTGTTGGGGTTTTTTAGGTCTTGATGAAGTTTTATCACCCACTCCTGATACTCTTGCTTCTGGATGGCAGTTGATTGTTTTAATTCATTTGACCATTTATTTTCTAAGTCCTAAAAAAGGGACGGTACACCAACTGCTTAGTTTTTTTACAAAAGTAAATAAGTAAAAGAAAATGCAACTGCATATATTAAAGTCATTGTACTTCGCTTACTTGCTGGGATTCAAAATGCTGAGCAGCCAGTGAATTTACATCTTGATCTGTCAGGGATTTTCCCAATTCTTGCATCACTTTTTCCATTTCAATACCTTGTCTAAAACATAAATCAGCAGAAGAGACATATTCATTAAATGTTTAAGCTATACGGCCACTCCAGACTCACTGAACAATCTCTACAAAGTGAAAATAAAATTTTTATTTTATAGGAATATGTCCAGGAATGGCAACTATAATACTTGGAAAGTACCTTAAAGCCCTGGAAATGGAGATGTAGAAATGATAATGTCATATAATATCAATAATGTCATTTGTACAGCTACATTTTGATCTAAATTTAATGCATGGATGAAGGCAGTCAAAATCTGGGTGCTCTTTCAATTTCCATGGCTAATGTTTAAATGCCCAGATCCTTTTTCATCTGCAGATTTCCTCAAAGGTAACACTCTGCAAGTCCAGCTTAAATACATTTTCTATTTATTTGTCCATGAGTTAAAGTGACTCCAAGCTTTGAAAAATTAGTTTATATTCTAACCAGAAGCTGCCCATTAGGTTCTAAGAATCAAACTGGTATTAAGTCACAACGTTCCCTTTACAGAGGAAGATAAAATGCATTGTACATATATACAATATGAAAGTTATGTTTAGTCTTACCTTCATTTACCCAAATAAATAATGTGCGGAAATTAAAAACGGTATTCCCTACAGGAAAAACTAGCCAATGGTGTCAGAAGTTCAGATAATGGTTATGTGGGGGGGGGAAATGGGTAGTGTCTAGATGGGCGTGAGGGAGCCTTCCGCAGAGCTGGAAAGATTCTATTTTGTGATCTGGGTGATGACTGCATGGGTGTGCTTACTTTGTGAAAATTTATTGAGCTGTACATCTGCCATTTGTTGCCTTTTCTGTGTATATATTTATTTTTAACTGAGGAAGATTCACCCCGAGCTAACATCTGTTGCCAATCTTCCTCCTTTTTTGCTGAGGAAGATCAGCCCTTAGCTAATATCTGTGCCAATCTTCCCCCACTTTACACGTGGGTCACCATCACAGCATGGCTGAGGAATGGTGCAGGTCCTTGCCCAGGATCCGGACGCACGAACCCAGACCACTGAAGCACAGCGTGCTGAACCTAACCACTACGCCATGGGGCCAGCCCCGTATGTATATTTTAACAAATAAATTCACTTAAATTAGATTCAAATTAATTTAATTTCAAATTTCAAATTAAAAAATTATCTTCTAATACAAATGCTTAAAAAAAGTTTCTTCTAAAACATATTTCAAACAAACTTGGAAAGAATGAAACAAAGACATGAACTAAAAGGATTTTGCTATCATTCTATTTAAGTCAATTGCTCTTAAAAGAGAATTTATACGTATTTATAACAACTGATTAAGATGCTTAAACATTTATGATAAATGAAATATTCATATGTTATACATTTATATATTTCTCTATATATCTTCTACCATTAAATATTTAATACCATTTAGTCTCCACTTATTTCTAATGCAGTTGACCCTATTAACATTTAATAACTACTAGAGGTCAGGTGAAGATTATACTTGCAAGTTAAATTGTTTTTTTTAAAACAGAAATAACTGCTAAACATTTATAAATACAGATATATTAATATTTTACATTACACATGTTCCCTCTAGTGGATAAAAAGTATCATTGCCATTTTTAAGTTTAAAGAAGTATCTTGAATCTGGTTTGCTAAAAGAAACAAATTTCCAGAACAATAAGAGAACACTCATGTCCAGATATGGAATCTTCTGGGAGGTGTGGTGAGTAGGCAGCAAAGCGGGCCACAGCTAGGGCAGCCTACCAGCCGAAGGAAAGTGCTAGTGACAGCTACTGAGATGGACCCCAGCGAGAACTTCTAAATACAGTCATGCACTGCATAACGACGTCTCAGTCAAGTCGGACCACATATGTGAGGGTGGTACCACGAGATTAGTACCATACAGCCTGCGTGTGTAGCAGGCTATACCATCTGGGTTTGTGTAAGTACAGGCTACAATGTTCGCACAATGACGAAATCACCTAATGACACATTTCTCAGTGCATCCCCGTTGGTGAGTGATGCAGGACTGCACCTATGGGGCAGAATGAGTGTAGTCCCAGAAAACCTGAGATCCAAGAAGAGATTCAGAAAAAGTTGAAGGTTCTATTATTTGAAGCCCTGGTCGAAAAAATCAACCAAATTAAGTTTAACAGAAGGTAACTAATTAGTATTAGTAATTATGCTTTTATATATTTGTAAGAATCTAATTTGTATTTCATTACTTTAAAAATACATTCACAATTTTACTGGCTACATAACAAAGAACTAGAAAAAATCAAATTCTCGTCCCCCGCAGGGACACAGCTTCAGCTATGCACCTGGGGGCAGCTACCCATACCACAGGTATTCCACCTAGAAAGGCATAAAGTGCCTCAACATAGGCAACCAGCAAACCCAAAACTATAAAGGTGACAATGTCTCAAAACATCATGTTCTTTTTGACACACAGAGAGTTCTAATGTGTTACTGGCTATGAGAATAAAAGGTCCAGAAGAGTGGAATTATCATGAAAATTTACAAATCTGTACAATTTCATAAAAATGCTGATCTGGTACACAAAACAGAGTATCCCTCGGGAAAAAATGATGAAACCCATTTGCTTACGATTTTTGTGTTTTAAGTTTTCTTAACTATGACAGCCCTCAAAGTAACAGATTATTCTCATCTTCTAGCCCTGGTGTTTTCTAATGTGAAGCTAATGACAGCCAAGAGTGAACCAGTACATCATTCTAAATTTAGCTCTTTGGGACTGATTATTAAATCAGTCAGAAAAAATCAATGTAACTTGGTCCTAATATACTTCCACAATCAAAGAAATTTTATGTCAGCAATACTAAAAAAATTATCTTAATGCCATGTACACCTAAATTCTTAAGTAAATGTTTTTAAGGTAATAAATGTTCTTAGATTCTGCTAGATACAATGGATTATCTAGAAGGAGACATATATCCTGAATTACTACTACAATTTACAGAATTACTAGAAAGTAGTCCGGAAAGTCACACTTTAAAATAAATAATGCTAACAATTTTTTACTTCCTCTTAAGGAAAAAAAGAATCATAAAATCATTGTTTGCACATTGTATTAAGTAATCCACACAGAAGGAATCAAATCTAATTAAAATTTCTGGGAATAACAGTGTTATTTTTTTCCTCCTGTCCAGTAGGCTTAGCAAAGGAACTGAGAGTGCCCCTGGAATGAGCAACAGCAGGATTTTAAACAGGTTCTGAATAGGCAGACAGCACGGTACAGTGGCTAAGAGCTTTGGAGTCAGACTTCCTGGTTTCAAACTCCAGCTTGTCCTTAGACAAGTTACTTAAGGTATTTAAGCCTCTGTTTCCTCTTCTGTAAAATGGGGATAATAATAGTGGGTTGTAATGAGGATCAAATGAGACAGGGCATCTGTTACGGACTGCATGTTTGTGTTCCTCAAAATTCCTATGTTGAAACTCCAACCCCCAAGGTCATGGTGTTTGGAGGTGGGCCTTTGGGAGGTAATTAGGTTTAGATGAGCTCATGAGGCGCGAGCCCTCATGATGGAATTAGTGCCTAGAGGAAGAGATGCTCGAGCTCTCCTAGGAGACGCGCGCCAGGAGCAGGCACTGAGGAAAGGCCATATGAGCACACACCCAGAGGCACTGTCTACCAGCCAGGCAGCAAGTCCTCAGCACACACCGAATCTGCAGGCCCCTGGATGTTGGACTACCCAGCCTCCAGCACTATGAGAAATAAATTTCTGTTGTTTAAGCCACCCAGTCTATAGTATTTTGTTATCGCTGCCCAAGCTGACTAAGACAGCATCCAAAGCCCTTTGTCGCACAGCACCTGGAAGAAAGCAAACCAGCCACCGAAGTGAGCAACTCCTCTTATTAGAAAGAAGGATACATAATGTGACTGTAATTTGTTTAGGTCAATCACTTGAGAAGTTCTATACACCTCCGAGGACCTCACCTTCCCAGCTGAAATGACAACTTGAAACACATAAGAAAATTAATTTCTAATATTAAAGAATTTCTACTATATTAATATTAAAGAATTTCTATTTTATTCTTCATTTTATAAAGAAATGAAAACAAGCTGTTCTGCATGCCATCATATTTGACAATGTAACATTTAATTATGATAATGCAAGAAATTTGACATACCTCTCTCGTAATTTCTTCAGCTCCACATCTCTCTCGCCAATCAGTTCTGAGATGCTAACAAAGTAGTTATGTTCCAGATTTAGGAGGGTCTCCGAGGCAGGAGAATGGATTAGGCCATGGTACACATCTGCGAAGTCTTCATCCCAGCTGGGCTCTTCAGGCCTCGCGTGCTCCAGGGTGGTCTAGAAGAGGACACAGAGCCATTCTCAAAGCACCATACAGTACTTTCACCCGACACACTACCAGAAAGGTATGTACACTGTATTCCATTTTCGTACAGCAGACAAGGACAGCAAGACCCTCTACTTACATATGTGTAGATATGTTAGACAGAATTATCTGAGTACGCAAAAAAAAACGGAAAGATATAAACTAAGTTGTTAATACAGGTTACCCTGAGGCAGGGATACGGGCAAGGTGCTAATGTGGAGGAAGGGAGAGAAAGTGCCCACAATGAAACACATGCAAGTGTGCTGTGAGCCCACCTCTGCAACATCACACACTCACACAGACGGAGGGTGATCAACACATGTAAGTATGCTATGAGCCCACCTCTGCAACATCACACACTCACACAGACGGAGGGTGATCAACACATGCAAGTGTGCTATAGCCCACCTCTGTAACACGGCACACACTCACACAGACGGAGGGTGATCAACACATGTAAGTATGCTATGAGCCCACCTCTGCAACATCACACACTCACACAGACGGAGGGTGATCAACACATGTAAGTATGCTATGAGCCCATCTCTGTAACATCACACACACTCACACAGACGGAGGGTGATCAACACATGTAAGTATGCTATGAGCCCATCTCTGTAACACGGCACACACTCACACAGACGGAGGGTGATCAACACATGCAAGTGTGCTATGAGCCCACCTCTGTAACACGGCACACTCACACAGACGGAGGGTGATCAACACATGCAAGTATGCTATGAGCCCATCTCTGTAACACGGCACACACTCACACAGACGGAGGGTGATCAACACATGTAAGTATGCTATGAGCCCATCTCTGCAACACGGCACACACTCACACAGACGGAGGGTGATCAACACATGTAAGTATGCTATGAGCCCATCTCTGCAACACGGCACACACTCACACAGACGGAGGGTGATCAACACATGCAAGTGTGCTATGAGCCCACCTCTGTAACACGGCACACTCACACAGACGGAGGGTGATCACAAACGTTAAGTATGCTATGAGCCCATCTCTGTAACACGGCACACACTCACACAGACGGAGGGTGATCAACACATGTAAGTATGCTATGAGCCCATCTCTGTAACACGGCACACACTCACACAGACGGAGGGTGATCAACACATGTAAGTGTGCTATGAGCCCATCTCTGTAACACGGCACACACTCACACAGACGGAGGGTGATCAACACATGTAAGTGTGCTATGAGCCCATCTCTGTAACACGGCACACACTCACACAGACGGAGGGTGATCAACACATGTAAGTATGCTATGAGCCCATCTCTGTAACACGGCACACACTCACACAGACGGAGGGTGATCACAAACGTTAAGTATGCTATGAGCCCATCTCTGTAACATCACACACACTCACACAGACGGAGGGTGATCAACACATGTAAGTATGCTATGAGCCCATCTCTGTAACACGGCACACACTCACACAGACGGAGGGTGATCAACACATGTAAGTATGCTATGAGCCCATCTCTGTAACACGGCACACACTCACACAGACGGAGGGTGATCACAAACGTTAAGTATGCTATGAGCCCATCTCTGTAACATCACACACACTCACACAGACGGAGGGTGATCACAAACATTAAGTATGCTATGAGCCCATCTCTGTAACATCACACACACTCACACAGACGGAGGGTGATCAACACATGCAAGTGTGCTATGAGCCCATCTCTGTAACACGGCACACACTCACACAGACGGAGGGTGATCAACACATGTAAGTATGCTATGAGCCCATCTCTGTAACACGGCACACACTCACACAGACGGAGGGTGATCAACACATGCAAGTGTGCTATGAGCCCATCTCTGTAACACGGCACACACTCACACAGACGGAGGGTGATCACAAACGTTAAGTATGCTATGAGCCCATCTCTGTAACACGGCACACACTCACACAGACGGAGGGTGATCAACACATGTAAGTATGCTATGAGCCCATCTCTGTAACACGGCACACACTCACACAGACAGAGGGTGATCACAAACGTTAAGTATGCTATGAGCCCATCTCTGTAACATCACACACACTCACACAGACGGAGGGTGATCAACAAAACACTAATGGTGGCTATTTCAGGGCAGTGGGATTTCTGATGACTTTTACACTCTTTATATTCTAACGTATGATATTATATAATAATTTGCATTTTGATACAATTATGTAATCAGAAAAAAGCTTTTCATTATTAAAAAATATATTGCTAGAAAGGTTTCATAGGCTATATATTTAGAAAATGAAGTTACCTATGTGATAACATTGACCTTGAAAACCCAATCCATGCATAGGATTTTATATGGAGATATACGTGCGCAATTTTCTTTTTCTGAACTTTTCTAGTACTCCATTTTCTTTAGAAAATGTAAGCATGCTTTTAAGTATATGAAAACGGCAGTTGTCAAAAGGATAAAGGGACTGAGCAAACCCTGATAAACAGAGAAACAGAAACATGCAGAGGCAAAACAGGGACAGCCTCAGGACACACACCAGTCAGTCCAGGGAAGGAGAGGCCTGCTCACGACACGGGATGTGTCGACACAGCAGACAGACACAGTGCTTTAGAGCTGAGGAAACTGATGTGCTGAGAAGTCCCTCGTCAAAGAGCGTACAATTCAATGGCACAAGTGGAAGTGACCCCAAGATTCAACGCTTTTCCTATTATTGACCTTTGTACACAGACCCCTGTAAAAAAGAACAATCTAAAGTCTTACCTTTTTTTTCACCAATGCAAACATCAAAAACTGGAATCTATGACATGACTCAGAGTAATAATTTACCTTAAAACAAATGAGTGAATCACTGAAACAACTATCTTGAACTCGGTCAGTCAACAGCTAAACTTTTCCCCTTGTTTTCTTTCACTTACACTTCAATCAACTGCCAGATCAGGAGGGAAGAATTTAAGACTAGCTGTATCTAGAAGATGGATTTCATTTACTCTATGCCTCTGAAAACCTGAAACTGCATTCTGATATCAGCTCTACACCTTTAGACCTGGCACTGCTCTAGGATTATAAACAGTCCACGTGACTTAAGCTCTGCTCAAAATTCACTTCGGGCTCATGCTGAAATTTGGTAGGAAGGAGCCAGTGTGGATCACGGAAATCTGCTAGGTCCTACAGAACACCAGACATTCGGTAACCCCACTAACCAGATCAGCTAACTATAATAATTTGCAGCATCAATTTAAAATTCAGCCTAGAGCCAGCCTTACAAATAAGCAGAAGCTACCTATTTGAGAAGCATTAAGCAGGGTTCTTCCTTGACCTAACTCACACCATTCCCTCAGGAGAGGCAATACTAAAAGGGGGATTGTGACAGCTGGGAGGAATGGGGCATTGAGTAAGGGCCTGTAGAGAGGAAACTTCAATGTCCAAGCCATTATTTCTCCATCTCCACCTTCGGGCATAAAGTTCAGCTTTGTTGAGGCTCAACCCATTTGGCACTCTATCTTTCACAGACATCATCATCTAACAACCTAGCTGCCACTCACCCTCTTTCATTTAAAGCTTTGTCACCGAGTTCACAGACTTCCTTTCTGTCCCACATCCTGTCATCAATCTGGGTCACTTGGATGTCCACGTAGACAACTCATCCAATGCCTCGCCTTCTTACTTCCCCGAACTCCGCACCTTCAATAAGCTCTCCACTTCACCTCAGTCATCCATTCCACATCATCACCAGGAACAGCTCAACCTCTAAAGTTCAAACATTCAGTCTGTGACTATAACCTCCAACCAAGATTTCTCATTCAACTGCTCCCAGGCAAATGGTTCTTTAACTTCATCAGGACCTCCACCCCACAGACACTCCCTATTTTCTCATTTGCTATCAGCCAGTAGCTTCCACCTAGCTTATGTTTAGAGTGTAGAGACCAGAAGCAGAAAAAGATGGCCATCAACAGATCCTCTGACAGAAGACAAGGAAACACGGAAGAAAATAGAATTACTCTACAAAGTAGGAATTAACAGTCGTAGACACTTGAGTAAACCATCAGAACCTCCTTATACCATGCAAGTACATCCATCAAAGCACAGCTCTGACACCGTATCAGGGGCAACCATCCTCTACAACGTAAATTTCTTATAAAACAGCAGCATCTTCAGCACCTCTCTGCTGTGATGGGACAGTCCTCCCTCCACAGCAGTGCCTGACTGTATCACATAAAGGTATAACAACATATTTATAAGGATGACCCAGGGTCAACAAGAAGTTAGAATTGAATTTTATTCACTATGATGAAGAAAGCAAAGAAATAGGTACTACATTTTTAAAAGATCCTCGTCAAAAGGTGGCTAAGGTAAAAGTTTCATTATTTAAATATGTCAGCGTCTGGGGGCCAGCCTGGTGGTGCAGTGGGTAAGTGTGCACATTCCGCTTTGGCGGCCTGGGGTTCACCAGTTCTGATCCCGCGTATGAACACGGCACCACTTGGCAAAGCCATGCTGTGGCAGGCGTCCCTCATATAAAGTAGAGGAAGATGGGCATGGATGTTAGCTCAGGGCCAGTCTTCCTCAGCAAAAAGAGGAGGGTTGGCAGCAGTTAGCTCAGGGCTAATCTTCCTCAAAAAAAAAGAAAAGTAAACAAATGTCAGCATCTGAAGTATCTAGCAAATCCATTTATAGAAAATGGAGTTCATTCCTTCACAGCCCTAGCTAACTCGCATTACCAAAGACATTATGTTATTTTGCCTCTTCCTTGATGCTCCAATCATTCCTCTCAAGGTCACTGACAAACTACTTACCCACATCCTGCAGAGATGCTTCGTTCGGCCCCTTCTGTCTCATCTACTACGCCCTTCTGCTGCCACTGTCAGTGTCTGCTGCTAATCATACTTCGATTCTTCTAATCTCCACAAACCTGCATCTTCTAATTTCTGCCAGCCTTTTTGCTATCTACAATATAGTTTCTTTTTCTTTTTGAATTCTTTCTTTTTGGTCTCTGATTCCCATGTTTCTGGAGCTGGTACTGAGTGGTTTCGCTTTTGTAATTTTTACAGCCACTGACAGCCCAATCATATCCAGTGGGTACAACAATATTTGGGTCTTCTCAGCTATTTTCCTGACTGTTAATATTTCCTTTCTCACAGCTAGAGATAGCTTCTTTGCTTTTTGTTTCCTAAACTATTTAAAAACAAACAAGCTGCTACAGTTCTAGAATGCTGGGCTTGTTTTCTTCAAGAACTCCTTCTTGACCAGTCTTTCTTCCTCCCACTTCCCTAGGTGTTCCCACAGGATTTACCCTGATCCTAACACAGACTGCACAGTGTTATAATAGTCCGCGGATTTCTCTGTCTCTTCCTACTAGACTGTAAGCTCCTTGAGGGCAAAGACTTATCCTCAGCTGTAAACCTAACCCATTTTAGAAGTACAAAAAATACTGGTTGAATTAAGTGGAATTACTTCTTTAATTCATCTTACAGCTTTATTCGTTATCAGAAGGAAGATTAAGTTTTTAAAATTGTATTTATCACAGACAGATCTTTTTTTAACGCAACAGTTACGTTTTCAACATTTAAAATAATATGTGCAAATAGCGCCACACCTTTTCTGGTGTTGTTGTTAGGATGGCATATGGGAATTTTTTATTGAGTTCTTAACAGTTCACATCAATATGAGATTTCAGTTGTACATTATTTCTTGTCTGTCATCACATAGGTGCTCCCCTTCACTCCCTGTACCCACTCCCCAGGACCCCTTCCCCAGGTAATCACTGAACTGTTTTCTTTGTCCGTGTGCTTGTTTATATTCCACATACGAGTGAAATCATCTGGTGTTTGTCTTTCTCAGTCTGGATTATTTTGCCTAGCATAATGCCCTCCAGGTTGTTCCATGTTGTTGCAAATGGGATGAATTTGTCTTTTTTATGGCTGAGTAGTATTTCACTGTATACATTTACCACATCTTCTTTATCCAATCATCCATTGATGGGCACTTGGATTGTTCCCATGTCTTGGCTATTGCGAATAGTGCTTCAATGAACATATGGGTGCAGATGTTACTTTAGATTGTTGATTTCAAATTGTTTGGGTAGATACCCAGTAGTGGGATAGCTGGGTCATATGGCAGTTCTATTTTCACTTTTTTGAGGAAGCTCCATACTGTTTTCCACAGCGGCTGCACCAGTTTGCATTACCACCAGCAGTGTATGAGAGTTCCCTTTTCTCCACGCCCTCTCCAACATTTGTTATTTTTAGTCTTAGTGATTACAGCCGTTTTAACAGGTGTAAGGTGGTATCTTAGTGTAGTTTTGATTTGCATTTCCCTGTGATGATTAGTGACGCTGAACATCTTTTCAAGTGTTTATTGGCCAGCTATATATCTTCTTGGAAAAATGTCTGTTCATATCCACTGCCCATTTTTTGATCGGGTTGTTTGTTTTTTTGTTGTTCAGTTGTGTGAGTTCCTTATACATTATGGAGATTAACTCCTTGTCAGATACATGATTTGCAAATATTTTCTCCCAACTGGTGAGTTGTCTCTTTGTTTTGATTCTGGTTTCTTTTGCCTTGCAGAAGCTCTTTAGTCTGATGAACTCTCACTTATTTATTTTTTCTTTTGTTTCCCTTGTCTGAGAAGACACGGTATTCGAAAAGATCCTTTTTATTTTTTAGTTCGATGTCAAAGAGTGTACTACCTATACTATCTTCCAGGAGTTTTATAGTTTCAGTACTTATCTTCAAGGCTTTGATCCATTTTGAGTTTATTTTTGTGTATGGTGTGAGATAATGGTCTACCTTCATTCTTTTGCATGTGGCTGTCCAGTTTTCCCAACACCATTTATTGAAGAGACTGTCTTTTCTCCACTGTATGTTCTTGGCACCTTTGTCGAAAATTAGCTGTCCGTAGATGTGTGGTTTTATTTCTGGGCTTTCAGTTCTGTTCCATTGATCTGTGTGCCTGTTTTTGTACCAGTACCATGCCGTTTTGATCACTATGGCTTTGTAATACATTTTGAAGTCAGGGATTGTGATACCTCCAGCTTTGTTCTTTTTTCTCAGGATCGCCTTAGCAATTTGGGGTCTTTGGTTACCCCATATGAATTTTAGGATTCTTTGCTCTATTTCCATGAAGAATGTGACTGGGATTCTGATTGCGACTGCAATGAATCTGCAGATTGCTTTGGGTAGTATGGACATTTTAACTATATTTATTCTTCCAACTCGTGCATGGAATCTCCTTCTATCTCCTTATGTCATTATCAATTTCTTTCAGTCATGTCTTATAGTTTTCATTGTATAAGTCCTTCACCTCCTTGGTTAAATTTATTCCTAGGTACTTTACTCTTTTAGTTGTGATTGCAAATGGGATTGTATTCTTGAGTTCTCTTTCTAAAGTTCGTTGTTGGAGTATAGAAAAGCAACTGATTTTTGTGAGTTGAATTTGTACCCTGCAACTTTACTGTAGTTGTTAATAATAGTGCCATCTTTTAAATACACTAGGAAACCTTACTGGGTATGGAGCAAACTGCTCTGAATAACAAATATGACCCATAAAATTTATTTTTTTCAAATTCTCATAAACTGAGCTATTTAGAGTGGGAGGTAATTCACTCATTATAGCTTGCAATTATTGAATTTGTCTGTTTACAGAGTTCTGCATCTGGCTCTCTAACTAAAATGCAAATTGCATTTTGTGTCTGTCTTGCTATTTTACACCCAACCCCTAGTACAGTACCTGATATAAGTAGCTTCTCAACATACTGTATCTCATCAATTCTAAGATGCATGCTTTTTCACATTACAACTCTCAGAGATCAAGATGCATCTTGTACTTGATGGCATCTGGGCATTCTATCATAGTTTAATTGGTGTGGGGTTCTCCCTTATTACTAAATAAAATAATGGTATGTTACAATCAATGGCATCTTAGACTTTACGAGATAAGGCATATTATTTAAATGGAAAAATGATAACATTATGTAACTAATAACAACAGTGAAGATAAGTGAGAAGATAAAAGTAAACCAAAGAGCTTAAAAGGAACTGATATGGTTAGTTCAGGGTTGCCAGATACAATTCAGATAAGCAAAGAATAATTTTTTACTATAAGTATGTTCCACATAATAGGTGAGATATACTTATACTAAAAAACTATTCATTGTTTATCTGAAATTCTAATTGAACTGTGTGACCTGTATTTTTAATTACTAAATCTTGCAACCCTATGCTGTTAGACAAACAAAAGTAGCCTTTCGTTTTACAAAGGCATGACACAACATAGTGTCTTACATGCTCACTCTGATACAGGAAGGAAGCAGACAAGCATCAAGACATATTGTCTATTATGGAATAAGTTTTTGGATATAGATAAAAAAGGACTCTACAACTGTTTCGGTATTACCTTAGCAACTTAAAAATCCTCACCCAAGTCCCGAATATCCTTGACATTCACAGTCTGATCTCCTCTCTTACCTCTGCGTAAGCTTTGGCCCACGTACTTGCCAGCTGATGTAGATCGACTTCACCTGCCTTCACGGCTTCCAGGGACGCTTCAGCATCTCTATCATAATCTCTGAGGGATTCTTCTTGTATAAACTGGCTCAGAGCTTCTTTTAAGTCTGTAGGAAGGACAAGAAATGTCATCATCAGCAAAATTCAGACATGAATAGGGAATAGCTTACCTGGCTAAGCATTCCAAGGTGAAATTTTATTTTATCAGGCTTATACCCTTAATAGAATGTCTAAATAAAATCAGCTTAGGGGATCATTTAACTACTTTCACAATTATTTTTCTTTACTATTATAGGTTACTGCATGGAGAATGGTCAGAATTCTTATTCTTACCTATAACCTTCATACTAATTTAAAAATGTAATTTTTTAAGGCTGATTCTTCAGTTTGAAACTGAGTAAGTTAAAGCACATAAAGCAAAATCTTCTGGGGCTGGCCATGTGGCCTAGTGGTTAAGTTTAGCATGCTACACTTCAGTGGCCCAGGTTCAGTTCTTGGCTGCAGACTTACATTCCTCATTGGCCACTGCCATGCTGTGCTGGCAAGCCACATACAAAATAGAGGAAGACTGGCACAGATGTTAGCTCAGGATGAATCTTCCTCAGCAAAAAAAAAAAAAAAAAGAAAGAAAGAAAGAAAAAGAAAAAAAGAACAAAGAAAAATCTAGATTTGGAGGGTCTGAAAATTACAGTATTTAAGTGAAAAAGTTTCCTATACATACTGTTACATTTTTTTAATTTGAAAGAGAAATTGAATGATTAGTGTATTAAAATGGACTTAATTCGATGATCTGTAATTCCAATTTTAGAGGCACTAGTTAGAGACTGACACAATGGAAAGAGCACTGAGACAGAAGTCAGGATACCTGTGTTCTGGTCACGGTTCTGTCACTATGTATGTAACTTTATTATTTTTTTTAAATTTTCTGTTAGTTTTATTAGCATAGTGGTTCTTTTTTTTTGTTTTGAGGAAGATTAGCCCTGAGCTAACATCTGCTGCCAATCCTCCTGTTTTTGCTGAGGAAGACTGGCCCTGAGCTAACATCCATGCCCATCTTCCTCTACTTTATATGTGGGACACCTACCACAGCATGGCTTGTCAAGCAGTGCCATGTCCGCACCCGGGATCTGAACTGGTGAACCCTGGGCCACTGAAGCGGAACGTGCGCACTTAACCACTGTGCCACCAGGCTGGCCCCCATATGTAACTTTAGACCAGTGGTTCTCAACCTCTAGCATGCATCAGAAGTCCCTGGAGGGCTTACTGAAATAAGACTGCTGCACGCCACCCCCAGAGTTTCTGACTCAGCAGGAATGGGATGAGGCCCAAGAATTTGCATTTCTAGTAAGTTTCCAGGTGATGCTATAGCTTCTGATCATGGAAAAACTTTGCAGAACCACTGCTTTAGGCAGATAATTTAACCTTTTCATGTACGAGTTTTCTTATTTGTACAATGAGATTGTGCTAGAAAGTTTCTAGGTTTGCTTGTAACTCTCACTTTTAACGATCCAACATATTCTAAATTTAAATTTTTCCTCATCTACAAGAGAGAACGTAGACCTTTTAAAATGGTTTAATACAGAGGACCTTATGGAACTAATTTAGGTAAGCAACAATTATTCAAGATGAATATTCCTTCTCTTCCATGCCATCTCAGGAGTTGAGGTCCAGATCATTAAAAGGGCAATGTATTTAGCAATATAATTCTACAATATCATAATTAGTGACAGCTGAAATGTCCCAGGAATCCAGTCAACTAAATTATAAGGTTAAGAGTTCTAATCCAGACTTTGTACCTAATTTTTCACTATATAATTAAATTTTTATACTAAACTGCTTTATAAACAACTACACGGGTTATAGGAAAAAACACTTAATAAAACAAAAGTCTGAGGAACGTTTTTATTCTTGGAAGCAATAAAAACACTTCATATTTTATGGCTGTTTCCAACGCTTCCTAGCTTTAAGCTTTCTAATATGAAACTTCTAGTGACAGAGTCTATAGGAAAATAATAAAGTGATATTAAAAAAATCTTTCCTCACCTTTTTCTATAAAGCATGGCAAATTGTGCAAAAGCATCAGACGTCCATGTAAATGACTGGCATTCTCTTGAACAGGAAATCTGAGGGGCACCCTAAGTTCTAAACATTGATTTCCTACTTTGAATTTATACACAAATTCCCTCTCTCTGTTGCAGAATCTTTCTCTGTTTTTCTTCATCTTCTTTGGCAGGATTTCCATAGAACTAACAAAAAAAGCACAGCAGGTTATAAGTCCATAAAATAAAGATGTTTTCTCATTGCTGTACTGCTTCTAAGAAAATATCCCACCACTCAGAGATTTTATTTGTCTGACTCTGAGTCAATTATTCTGGTCGTTCTTACATTTATCTCTTCATTTTAATCTTCATGATGAAAACGAAGATGTGGGAAGAGGATACATAGAAAATAGAAAGTACAGGATCCTCCACAAGGCATTCAGAAAGAAGAAATCTAGTCAGAAAGAGTAAGGACCAATATCAATTAAAGATTTACTAATCATCTTCCTTACCAGACTTGCTGTCACTAGGCATTTCCCCATCAAATCAGTTCTCAGACTCTTCTCTATACTGAAGTCGTAGTAATCTTTCCCAAGTGTATATCTGATCATGCTGCTCCTCTGTTTAAAACCCTTTATTCCACTACTCCCAGGATAAAATTCAAACTCCTTAACCCAGCTTACAATGCCTCTATTTATATCTCCAGATTTTTTTCCCAGCACCTGCACCCCTCCTCCCCAAAACACAAATTCACAAACTTTATTTTCCAGTCATACTGACCTCCTTTCAATATCAAACCTCTTTTTCCACTCCACCCTTTTTGAATGCTTTTGCTCTGCATAGAGCAAGCACTCTCATTGCTCTTCTTTCCTTGGCTAACAACTATTCATTCTTCAGGTCTCAGCTAAGACAAACCTCAAGAAGCCTTTTAACTCGTAGGACTGTCATAACGACTACTCAAATAATAAATATGAAATATCTGACAAACATGATTAAGAAATGAAAGCTAGTAATAATAACATAATAAATAATAAAAGAAGCTCTCTAAGAACACATCACTAAAGAAATCACAGGATGCTCATTGAGTACACAGCATGAAGGCAAAGACAGTAAAGGAACATTGTAGAGGGAACTAAACGTCACAGAAATACGGACTTATGGTCCAGTCTTGTTTAGATTCAATATTTTCCGTAAACAAAAAACATTAGCTCTGGTTTCAATCGGTTCAACATTTAGACTTATTATTTTCCAACAAATTGCTAACTTTAGTTACCTCTCTTCTTGGTCTTTTAGCAGACGTGAAATTAAGGAAGGTTTCCCGTACAAAAATGGGATGGGAGGAGGAAGGGCTGGCCCGAACCCCTAACGCTAACAGAGCGGAGGTTCTGCGGTTCAAACTAGTCAGAGAAAAGGGCAGACTGCGGAACCGAGAAGCTCTGGCCCAGGGAGGGGAACAGCCCCTCCATTTGGGGGTTTCAGACTGAACGGTTTCCTCCCTCTTGGCTCTGAGCTCACCTCCCCTAAATCTGAAGCACGGAGCGATGGACACACTCCGAGATGTCAACGAGCCGCACACAGGGAGCAGCACACACGTAGCATCAGCTGACTTCCCGACTTGTTTTTACAGCCAGCAGATCCGCTGCTGCAGATTCGGCCAAACCTTTCCCGCTTTCCTGGCACCTTGTAGAAGATTCTAGGGTCTAACTGCCCCTTGTCCCATCCTGCCTCAGTTTAATCATTTAAAAAGTGTAACAAGGTGTATTTCTACGGTTGTTGTGTATTTCAGAGACGGCGCAAAAAGCCACCGTGGTGACGAATGTGCAGCGGCGAAGCACAGCCTCGGCTCTGGTAGACCGGATGCGGAAGGGCAGTGCCTTGGGAAAGGCGTGAACAAATGCGTTCTCCCCCGGACGCATGCGCCGCCGCAGGGACGGCAGGTCATCATTGGAGGACCGGTGGCAGGGGGCGGAGAGCTCCGGTGTCCCATTTTGGGCGGGAGTTGAAACCGCCACTGCTGCCGACAAGAATTTGAGAGCTGCGAGTTTCCAGCCTTGAGGGAGCCATGGTGCGACCTGTGAGGCGAGTAGTTGGTCACAGCCGGCGGGGATGGGGAGAGAGGGCAGGGGGCCGCTGTAGGCAACTTTACCTGCGCACGATTGAGGGGAACGGGCCGAGTAGGACGGAGGGTAGCGGGGGTAGGGTGGGGTGGACGGGTACTGGGAAACTCGCCAGTCTCCACTGAGAGCCGCCCATTCTTCAGATGTGTCCTAGCATCCCAGCTTTTTCCTTCTCTTTGCCTCCCTTCGCGGCTATTGCCATTTCTTTCCCCACCTCGTTCAAATAAGACCTTGTATGGCAGCGTTCGAACAGCGCTCTGCATTTCACCGGGCTCCTCCTTAGGTGTTACTTCATTTGTTCATCACTAGAGTTCTTTGATATAGCAGTTTAGGTATCCCTATTTTATAGAGTTTACACTTCTCGGCATAAAGGCCACTTTACCTGAGCCACATAGCTAGTGCGTGGCAGGTAGTACTTAAAACCTAACTCGCTTGGCTCCAGGTCCTGTGTGCTTCCCGTTGTATTATTTGAAACTGTCCCTCTACTTACCCGCAGTCGAGTGCTGTGGAGGCCTGGGGCCAGCCATTCATTTAGTAAAGTTATTGAATATATTTACTTGCATGCCGTACTAGGGTGTGGGAGGTTACATTCTCGTCAAGGGGTGAGGCTCGGGGGCCGAAAATAAACACGGCAATATGATAGAGAGTGAGAAGGAGGAAAGCCTTACTTTAAGGAGGGTAGTTAGAATGAGCCTCTCTGACGAGACAATTCATGAGCTGAGACATGAATGACAAGAAGGAGCCAGCCAGTGAAAGTCTGGGGCAGTCCAGCTAGAGGGAACAAGAGCCAAGGCCCTGAGCTTGGCCCTGTTTGAGGCACAGAAAGAAGGTCCGTGAAGCTGCAGCATTAGCAAGGGAAGAAATGGAGGGGATTAGGTTAGAGAAGCAGGTAGGGCCTTGTAGGCTTTAGAAAGGAGTTTGGATTTTGTTGTAAGTGCGGTGGGAAGTCACTGGAGAGTTCTAAATAGGGGAGAGAAATCTAATTTTGGTTCTGTGGAGTCCACTGGCTGCTGGTGGAGAATGGATGGAAGACAGGGTGAGCAGAATGGGAGCAGGGAAACTAGTCAGGAGGCTGTTGCATTATCTGGTAGTGCTTGGGAGTAGGGTGTTATCAGTGGACATGGAGTGGGACAGATGAATTTGGGATATATTTTGGAGGTATTGCTGATAGAACTTGCTGAAGAAGTGGATGAGGGGCAAAGAGAAAAAAAGAATTGAGGATTACTTCACAATATTAGTGACCTGAGCTGCTGAATGGAGGATCTTTGCACTAACTGAGACGGGGAAGACTAGGAAAAGGCATGGGGGATCAAGAGTTCCGTTTTGGGCATGTTCAGTTTCAAGTGGGTTTTAAACATGCAGGTCGTGAAGACATAATCCTTCGTCTGGAACAGCAGTTGTCACAGTATGGTCTGCAGACCCCTAGGGGCCCCTGAGACCCTCTCTGGAAGTCCATGAGGGCAAAACTATTTTCATAAGAATACCGAGACTTGCTTTTTTCATTGTTCTGTCATTTGCACTGCAGTAGTGGTAAAACTGCTGGCACCTTAGCGTGAATCAGGGCAGTGACACAAGCTGTGTGAGTAGTCATCGTATTCTTTACTGCTGCACACTCAGAGTTAAAAGAAAAGAAAATACCATTCACTTAAGAATGTGCTTGATGAAGCCGTGAGAATGATTATATTTGTTCTAGGTCAATCACTGACCATACTTGTTTTTTTTAAGGGTTTTGATTTTATTTTACTATTATCCAATCTCAGAGTTTCTAACAGGGTTTCCATATTTTGTTCAGCTCTCAAGTTTTTTAACTCCCAAGAGTAGGAGAGTAACAAGAGTACCGTTCCTTTTAAAATCCCATGAGAGGGACTCTTAAGCTCACGTAGCGCACTTCTGCAGTGGTTGCTCGAAGGAGAAGCTCTTGTGAGGTGGTTTGAGTTGTGAGCTGAGCTAGCTTCTTTTTCAGAGAACACCATTTTTACTTGAAAGAACAACTGACGACCTGGGTTATTCACACTTGCGTATTTGGCAGAAGATAGAAATGAAGATTGGAATACCAATTTGTTTAGTACCTAGAGGAAGGAGGAAGGAAATGACTTCATTGTTTTCACTTTAATGTGGCTTTCTTCTAGTGCCCTCTAAAGTAGTATAAAGGTTTGTTTCAGGTGGCAAGTACAAAGTCACTCACCGTTTTCTAAGTGTCCATTGCATAAAGAACATTATTTAGTATTGTGAGGGAGATAAAAAAAGTAAAATGGCTTTTGGTGTCAACAAATTTATAACCTAATAAGGAAGATGGAATGCACATACAAAACAAAAGAATACATACAACAGGAACTTATAAATGCCCAACAGCAATTAAACTATGTATATACCTTGTGAGTATTAATTATATTGACTCTGCTTACTTTGTGGGTTATCAATTATTTTTTCCTTATCAGGTATATCAAGTATAGTTAAAACTATTTCAGCTAATGCTAAATCCCTACTGTAAAATCCAAATTGTGTTTTAAGTTTTCTTAAGAGAATCAAAACACATTTTCATTACTCAAGACTATTATTGGTCTTAAGGATTGGAGGTGAGAAACTGACATTTGTGCAAATGAAAAATTTCTTTCTTGGCTATAGGCATACGAAACCAGTCAATTACTCACAGTTTGAGGACTCTGGCAGCGATGGTAAGTAGAGATTTTTATTTCTGCTTTAAAGATTTGGAAACATTTTCTCAGAATTTATATTTTATATATATATTTATATATATATATATAGCTCAAATATTGAACATATTACTATTTTACTCAATTGCATATGAGCTAGGTCTGGAAAAATAATTTTCTAAGCATTTGAGATGATTATGCTGCTGATTACACTGACAAGAATTATGCAGGTGAGTGATAAAGGAACAGGGCCAGGTGAAGTGGCTCTTTAGGTCTGAACGACTCTAGGTCGATGTTTTTTCAAGTGGAGTTCATCTTCTCCTTTCCCTTCCCCTAGGAAGGAACACACTGTCTTTTTGAGACACAAATGTGTTAGGATAAAGTGTGAAATCCCCATTAATTGTACAACAAAACAAGACCTTGAAGAAAGGTTAGGCTTAGGCGATACCCCATTGGCTTATGTCTTTACTTGTCTCTACTATTAAGGGAACTTTGATCATAAAGTTTGAGAAACATTGGGTTAGATTATGTTATACTTTGAAGTAGGTTTTATATTTCTCAGACCACCAGAGCTTTCTGAGAGTCAAATATTTAGTCATTCTGAGGTTTGAAGGAATCTGTTTTTTGCCTTGGGCACAGCCTTAAGTATGTCTAAGACTTGGGAGAAAATAAATATAGAATTAACTTCTAGCTTTTTATTACTGTCTTCAATCTGTCACCAAAGATTTATAAAGTGCAAGTTGTGTCCTAGGTGCTGTGGAGTGGAGGTGGGAGGCAAGTGACAAGTGATCGTATTCCTACATGGGGAAGCATAAACGAGACAGCATGTGTTAGTAAATGCTAAAGTATGTGGTTAAGACCACGTGTGCCCCGAAGGTATGCATTCGTGTGTTGTGGGTTAAAAACTACAGCAGCAGTTTTATACTGAGTGTCAACAGAAGAAGTATATCAATTTTTTAGTGAATTGGTTTTTGATAGATTGATATTTTAATAAATAAAGGTCACTAAAACAAAGTTGAAAAGCATGAATGAGAAAAAAGACAAACAATGTACCAGCAATATTTTTTAAATTGTGGAAATTAAACAATTTACTTAACCTATAAAACTTGACTACACGCTATAATGAATTCCAACTGCTAAGAAAATAATTTTATTATTTTTTACTTTTCCTAAAGTAGTTTTATATATTCTTTTATTTTTAATCCACATATAAATAGATGATTTTGTGTCTACAACTGCACGTTTAAATAAGAAATCCAGAATGACACCAAAGGAGTCAAAACTAGAAAAAACAACACCTAAATTGAAAAGTCTCCAGCAAGAAGACATTCCACTACAAGAGAAAACCCCTAAAAAAAGGTGAGAGGTAAGACATACGGTAAATATACAATGTTAGATGTGTTAATTTAAAGGAGAGACAGATTTGAACTTGGTTTAAATTAGGACTCAAGCAGAATCATAGGTATTATTTTATTTAATGCATGTAGGAGAACAGGGATGTACCATTAATCTCATTCTGACTTTCTGACTTAAAAAAGAAATTCACAAACATGTAAGGAATATCATTTAAGTATTAACACAATCATAATTAATTATAAAGTTTAGAAGTTATAGCTTACTTTTGCAGGACCCCGTACCTGTCTCTGAGGTCCTCAAGTCTTAGAAGACTACTTTCTTAAAAATTGCATTTGTAAGGACAGTTTTATAAAATTTAAAACCATGTATTTTTCTGCAGATAAAAGATATTTTCTTTATATGTTCTTGATTCTTGTCCATCAGTGAGAAGATCCCATAATTTCTAGACTAACCTTGGAATTTCATTAGTTGGTAGCAAGAGAGAAGGGAAAGTGAGGGAAGGAAGTCCTGAGAGGCCCAAAATTTGTAGTATGGAGAGGAGATTGGCAGAGGAGGATATTAACAAATGGAATGTGGGGCCTCTGATGGTTTACTGCTACAAGTATGAGAAAAGTTAATTAGCATAGAGAAACTTACCGCATGTCATTCTCTTTACTTTTTTCATCTTTTTTTCTTTTTGTTTTTGAGCTTGTACTACATTCTAAGTATAGTGAAAAAAACCCCACAAATGGGAGAAAATATTTGCAAATCATATAATTGATGAGGAACTTGCATCCAGAATATATAAAAAAACTCTTACAACTCAACAATAAAAATACTGATAACCCAATTTAAAAAATGGGCAATGGATTTGAGTAGACATTTCTCCAAAGAAGTTATAGAGATGGCCAATAAGCACATGAAGATGCTTGACATCCTTAGCCGTCAGGGAAATGCAAATCCAAACCACAGTGAGATAATACTTGACACCCACTAGGGATGCCCAGAATCCAACAGATGGACAAGAACAAGTGTTAAGGAAGATGTGGAGAAATCGGAACCCTCATACGTTGCTGCTGGGAATGTAAAATGGTGCAGCCACATTGGACAACAGAGTAGCAGTTCCCAAAATGTTAAACACAGAATTATCATATGACCTAGACCTATCGCCAAGAGAAATGAAAACATATGCCCACACAAAAACCTGTTCGTGCATGTTCACGGCAGCATTATTCATAATAGCCAAAAGATGGAAGCAGTCCAAATATGTGTCAGCTGATGAATGGATAAATAAAATGTATATCCATACAGAGAATATTATTCAGCAATGAAAAGGGATAAAGTACTGATACATGCTACAACATGGATGAACCTTGAAAACGTTATGCTGACTGAAAGAAGCCAGACACAAAGACCACGTGTTATATGATTCCATTAATATGAAATGTCCGCAATAGATAAGTCCATAGAAACGGGAAGTAGATTAGTGGTTGCCAGATGCTGGGAGGGGTAAACGGGAAGTGACTGCTGATGATGTCGCGTTTCTTTTTAGAGTGATGAAAATGTTCTGAAATTAGATAGTAGTGATAGTAGTGATGGTTTCGCAACTCTGTAATATACTACAAACTGCTAAATTGTTCACTTTAAAAGGGTGAATTTTATGCTACGTGAATTACGTCTCAATAAAACTGTTATTTAAAAGATAATAAATACATCTCAGTATTTCCTCCTTTTGTACCCTTACCTTCTCCAACTGTCTTTGATTTTTCTTCCTCTTACACACCATAGCACTTTTGCCCACCTTGAATAGAAGACATAATCTGCGTGTATGGTTATTACTATGCCTTGTTTCCATCACCTGCTCATTAAGTGCAGACTCCTCGAGGGTACTTTTAGTATCCAGCTAGTGCAGTGCCTCATACACAGTAAGTACCTGGTGAAATATTTGTTGACGTCTAGATTAGGAGGAGCAGATGTAAAAAAAAAAATGAATATAAGAGCTATAATAATCATTGTCTAAGGAGGTGCAGGTGAGGTTAAGGAAGATTTCTAAGTGGAAGTGATATTTGAGCTGAATCCTTTTTCTAGGTTGAGCAGGTGCTTCTCACCTGGAGAGAGCCGGTAGTGAGGACAGACCCACAGTGAAAGGAGACAGCAAGTGCAACGGCACACGCTGCTCCTGCTTCACGTCTCTGATGCCAGACAGAACATGACATTGCTGCACTTGAGGAGTCTTATTGAAGGTCAATTATGATCATGACTATTGTTTAAAAACATTTTTGTGGGGTAAACAACTCTAAATAGTAATTCAGGAAAATCTCAAGTTTTACTGTTTATTTGAAATTGATTTTTTAAAAACTCATTGTTACTTGTGTGTCTACTTTAGGATGGCTTTAGATGACAAGCTCTACCAGAGAGACTTAGAAGTCGCACTAGCTTTATCAGTGAAGGAACTGCCAGCAGTCATCAGAGATGTGGAGGAGTCTCCAAATAAACGTAACTTGTTTTTTACATATTTATCTTCATAGAAATCTTTTTATTGCTTTTGTAATCATTTCTTTGGATGAGGCTTCACAGATGAAGGAATAAAATTTGAATACTTTGGACAAATGGAACAGTTTGCAGCGTACAGTTGGATTCAGTTTATTCTGCTGCATAAATCTCATACACACATCCATATATGTCTGCTTAACACCCAAAGTAAGCTTGAGGACATGGGCTATGAGCTTGGATGTTCAAATTTCATCTTTGTATACAGTGAAAATTTAATTTGTTGAGTGAATGAATTGATCTGTACAGTCCTAACAATGCACTTCCTTTTTTAAACATGACCTAATAATGGTAACTTTTATTGTTTATGAAGGTTAAAGGTACTAATTTGGTTCACAAGCTCAGTTAACTTAAGAGATATATGACTTCTGGATTCTCTGTGGGTTTTTCTCCTTTGAGTTTTCTGGCAACTATGCAGCAGATAGCAATATTGGTATTCTGGAGAGGCAGAAATCATTCCTGGAAAAGACATTCAAATTGCTAAAAGGCTTTTTGGATTAAATCATTTTGGCTTCTTTTATGTTGGAGGA